CTGTTGTATTAAAGTTTTTCTTCATTACCCACTCAAGCCGTCTCCAGCCATTATTAGTCTCAAAGTGGGTTCCTCGTCATCGAAGATGAATTATCTTTAAAGTTAAAGGAAGAAGCATAAGGTGTATATATAAGTTATAAAACAAGAAATAAATCTGACTGGCTGGGTTTTAGTTACATGGGTGTGGATCTCTTTATGTGTTATGGGGTACAAAGAATATCATGAAAGTTGAAGGCAAGAAAAAACACAATACTTTGTATTTGTTTTACACCACCTACTTCCACTTGCAAACATCTTAAACAATCAAATGAAATACATACCTGCTAAACACTGGAAAAGTACCTTTTAAATCCAACAACCCAAAAATAACACTAGTGATCTCACTAAAAATGAAATTTCACCAACCATTTCCAACAGTACCAGTCTTCATAGATTACTGTCTGATGTCAAAATTACACTTCTGAACAAAAGTCTTAAACTTTTGTCCCACAAACAGTTTTGTTAATAAACCTAATTTTTTCTGACATTCTTGAATTCCTTTAAAAACTATGACTCAGTGCAACCTTATACATCAAGCCCTCATTCTTCTGATCACCATCCTGGATCTGCCTTTAAAGAGAAATCTTCTTGGACACTTTCCTCTATCAGACAAAATCTGACAAAAAATAAAATCTGCTCTTAATCTCTGTAAAAACGTTTATGTAACTGAAGCTAATTGGCAACTTGATGAAACTAATTTCTAGGACAATATAATTCACAAACACTAACAACAAGAAATTCAAATAACAACTGGTACAAACATCTTCCAGTAATTGTCACTAAAACAAGATTTTAATTTCTACGTAATATACACAGACCTAATAATCCAGGGTGTCCAGTCATATCTAATACAAACATGACACTCAAAAACATTATCTGTTAGGTCATCAAGAAATTAATGTCATTTTTTTTTAGATGAAAAAACACAAACAACTTGTATATCAAAACAAAACATCTATTAAATGAAATAGTCTCCATTCTTATCGATGATGCTTTTCCATCTTACAATCCGGGTGTTAATGCCCTGATTAAAGAAATCACTTGGCTTTGATGCAAAAAACATGTTGATGTCCTCTTTAACTCCATCCACATACCACTAAGATGGTGTTGCAGCAAACAATGGAGAATATGGTGGGTGGGGGAGAACTTCCCAACACAACTCCATAATCTTGTGTTGCATCAAACATGCTATATGTGGACATGCATTGTTGTGGAGAATAACAACACCTTCCTGATTGACGAGTGAAGGGCATTTCCAATGAAGGGATTGATTTAAACATTCCAGTTACTGACTATAGATCTCTGCATTGACAGTTTGCTGTGGATTGAGGAGTTTGAAATTAATTACTCCTTTGATGTCCCACCAAACACAAAGCATCACTTTCTGCAGATGGAGTCCAAGTTTTGGGGTCGGAAGTGGTTCTTGTCTAGGAATGAGCCATTTTTAGCATTTAATATTTACATAGAAAATCCATTTTTCATCACTGGTGACAATTCTGTTCAAAAATGGTTCACGTGCATCATGTGCCAGAAGAGAATAAATGTTCACACATTGGAAACGATGATCATCGGAGAGTTCATGAGGCACATACCATCTTCTTTATGGAGTTTTTCCATATTCCTTAGATGTCTACGTATTGTTTCATGAGAGACATGCAATTTCAGGGCCATTTCATGAGTGTGTTGCCTTGGGTTAGACTCAACAAGTGTCTTCATAGGATCAATATCAATTCCAACATGTCGGCCCCTGCCATCACAGTTTTTAAGACAATAGTCACCTATGAATGAAATTTGCTGAACCATTGTTGACATTTACGAATGTTCAAAACATTTCCATAAACTTCTTTGATATTGTTTGTGGCTACAGAGACATTGTTTCCCTTCTTGTATTCAAACAGCATTACATGCCAATTGTGTGTCTTGTTATGTGCCATCACTATAAGGAACTAGAGTATACTAAACTTTACACATTAACATGATGTTTAGGCAGTTCGTTTAACTATTATACGTGATGTACGTTTTTTTTGTGGGGGGTTAATGAAAGTGTTCCAAAACACGACATTAATTTCTTAACGACCTAATACTTATGTTGACCGCCATATAAATATATAAATACAAAACCCCTTTTTTACATCAAAGACACATTGCATTTTCTAAATATCATTGAGTGAATTAATAATAAAGGGCCATTACTTCCTAATATTATTCCTTCATTGAAGTTTAAGAAGCTTTTAGTTTATCTAATCCATCAGAATATCAAAAACTCTGATATAATCAGAATTGTCTTGATCTTGAATAACTTTTAATCCATTAATACATTCAGACTAACAGCAGTGCTTTGGGTACTAAGATGACTCCTAATACTTCTAACAAATGAATGGGTGATATTGGAAAACGTATCTTTGAAAAAAGTGCTGTGAAATCACACATCTGGAAATGTTACATTGATGACATCTTCACTGGACTGCCAACATTGAGTCTCTCCAGAATTTTTGACATTTGCACTCCTTCTGAAAAGCTATTAAGTTTACACTCGAGTCATTCTACAAAAAAAGATGGTCTTCTACACACTAATCTGTACAGAAAACTAAAAAATAGAACATAATATCTTTGTTACTAAAGTTGCCACCCTGCTCATGTTAAATGAAACGTTAGATATAGTCAAATCTTATACATCAAGAAAATTTGTTCTAATGAAAATAGTTATAAAAATATACAGAAATGATAAAACAAACAATAATACAAAGAGGTCATAAAGACTGAGATTGATAGAAAAGATAAACAAGAAGTAACATTCAATGAAAAACCATCCTCAAACAATAAAGTAACTAACAGAATTCATCTTTCAATCTTTCAAACCTCAAAAATATCTAATGTATTCTAGAAAACAGCTACATCAACTTATTAAATATTTAAAACAAATTATTTTCTGAAATTCTTATTTCCTTCTCATAAAAGTTCTGAGATAAGCTAAGATTAATTATATAGCCATAGAATGGTTGCTCACTGTCAAATCTACATTTCTTGAAACTATTGACATTTTTTTCTGACAAGTACAAGCATAACCCCATAAAACCAGGATAGAAATTACTTATATTAAACAAAATATCATGTATCTCGTACAGTGTAACTAACAATATGCCGGACAAACCTAACCAACCCCATCACTCATCAGTAGCATGGCTTTCTAAGGTATTGAAAATGGATTCCAGTCTAAAGAAGATAGAGAGATGGAAGAAGCTTATAGGATTGCCACTTCTAACAGTTTTAATCTTTATAACATTAAGTTTTTTCTGGCACCAATAGCCTTCAAACATTTCATATCTTTTCTTTCAGTTTATGGTTTCAATTTTTCGTTTAGCTATCTGTCTTAAATATTCAACACCTCTTATATTGAGTAACATTTCTAATCTCTTCCATACTCTTTATTTTAAAAATCTTTTTATTTTCATCTCTTCTTTTTGGACTTGAATCTTATAAAAAATGAATTAAATTTTTTACATTGTTTTCTGTTTGACTATGTTACAAATTTATCTTTAACATTTTACCATTTCATATTTATATATGATTTGCATTGAGAAATAAATAAAATAATAAAATGATAACATAAAAATATAGCAGTTTTAGAATTTTTCTTTAAACCACATAACTCAAAAAGTGATTCACAACTATGAAACAAACATGTGACTGCCTCACACCAGGCAGTTAGACTTCCTGTTTTTCAACTTATGCCCACACTGTACAGCTCATTTCCCCATTCTTCAGTTACCTCTGCAGAAAAAGTCCACCTGTCAAAAGCTCTTTTCATTCTTATGTGAATTACCAAAGTTTTTGGTCCTGAATGATTTTTGCTATCTTGAACATTGTTTATAATAAGTTGCTGGTAAATGAAACTATATATTTTGATTTCATTTGCAGCTACTTTTATTGAGTTATAAGATAAATAGTTTAAATGCTGAACTAACCTAAATAATTTTTGGCCTCAGTATATGAACAAGTATGCTCTCTTTTTATACAGGAGCGTTGTTCACCTTTGGCCCTTGTTAAGAGCTTAAAATAATTTAAATGGATTACTACAACACAGTCAGTCAGCTAAGGTGTATTTCAATATACTTGATCTGTTTCACATTCTTAATTTTGCATGTCCTTAAAGTTGTGTTACCAATTTTCTTGTTGTGGAACTGACGTAACCTTCTTTGAACAAGGATGTGTAAACTCATTAACTGCATTTGGTGTTTTCAATGACATTTGATCTTTATATCTAAAGAAATACTGCAGATGAATCCAGGTTTAAAAAGGCATCACAGTTGTTCACACAATTACACCATATGAAGTAGGGTGCATAGTTTTTAAAAAAAGTAAAGGATGTTTTGTATTATATGGCAAAATTTAATAAACTGGACATTTAGGTACTTCATATGTTGAAAGCTTACCAGAGTTTCATTTATTTGAATAATCATAATTCAGTTAATCAGTTAAATGTGAAAGTCATTTTTACATAGAAAATTTTGATGTTACATTTTATTAATACATAAATTTATAAATACTTGAGATTTTGTAACTACAATGAATTAAAATCTTTGTTAGATTTTCTTTAAACACTGTTGGTACATAAATTCAAAAATGAAAATCCAGTAAATGTTTTCTAGTGATAAACCTCATATTCAAAGTCACCATCACAATTATGTACTAGTGTATCAAGAAATGCTAATGTTGAACAGTAAAATCAGTACCTTTCTGTTTACTGTTTAAATATTCTAAAACCTGAGGAATATGATTTGGGTTCTTGAAAACAGTAAAAGGTAAAAGTATCATATACATATATCCAATAATTTTATAGTTTAAAAGACAGTGTGAAATCATCTAGCCATTACTTTCATGAAAACAAAGAAGGAAACAATCTAGAACCCATAGCTACATCATCAATCTGATCATAAAGTTTAACATTAAGAGAACATAAGAGAAAGTGTGATTCTTTAGCTGCAAAATTCATTACCTTCAAAAATAGAATTTTTTTAATCTTTAACTTATTCAAATTAAAGTCAAAAGTAAATCTATACACAATAGGATCCTTTCTTCGAAAGGAATGTTGATATACAAGGATTCAGTCTCAAAACTAGTACAATATCTGGATTATTTCCTCCAAAGGAATGTTAATATATGTGGACTCAATATCCAAACTAGCACAATAAACTCCTATCAAACTTTGTTTTTTATTTCATTAGGAATTTTAAAACTGTTTTTCATTGTACATTCGCAAGTAATATACTTCTTCAGGAAACCAACCAAAAATCCAGCCAATGTATGATTATTGTTCCAATGTTTGAAGCAGTAGGTTTAATGAACATCTTTATATGTGTATTTTAGGAAGACCTCAGAAAATCCCTAGATGATTTCCTACTAGCCTAGCTTCTGAATATTATGCTGTAGTTAAGACATTATCTTTTTTTAGCTCTTTAAACCCGAGCAGACGTTGGCAGCATCCGGCCAAAAATCCTGATTTACCCATCAAGTGGTGACAGTGTTCAATAACATTTATGTCTCTTTGGCTAAAAGCTAATCCAAACCATATTATCATCCACCTTTTATAAATAGACTGGAAATTTTATAAGGTGTGGTGATAATTATTAGGGCATCATAAAAATAATTCTTGCAGAATGTACAAAAATTTATGGATTTAAGGAGTTAATTTTAACAGATATTGTTGAACATAAAAGTCAATTTAATATAATCAGTGAAAATTGTGTATTTTTTATGCTTACACTAAGAAATAAGTTTTATTATAAAACAGTTTATTCTCAGTACATTACTATTTTCTTTTATTAATTGTGGTTTTATTATTTAGTGTTTCTAAATTCTAATAGTTTTCATAATGTGTTCTTTGTACCATCTTTTATAGATATTTACTCATTGTCAACGATTGATTCATCAAATTGGTTCACGAAGTCGTGGTGCAAGCCTCCAGGAATCAAGAGTGAACAAAAATGTTGTTGTGTCCCTTGTTGGGGCACTACAGGATCTTTTTGTCACCTTTCGATCTGCTCAAGGCTCCTACTTAAAAAGTTAGTTATATCTATAAACTATGGTCATTGGTTTTTGTTTTCTTGTTATACTCAGGGGCAGTTTTTTTTTCATAAGCTGGTTCATAAAGAGCTTTTGTACAACTGTATGGATATATGGAAGTAATTTAAAAAAATGACAAAGTAAATTACCTGTATTTTTCTCCAGACCTGAGATCAAGGGAAGAACGTTCTGAGCAATTTTTTACAACTCCTCTTTCACCCATGATCGATGGAGGTTTTGGTGACAATTTACTTATGGACCAAATGTTTGAACAAGTAAGCTGTGAAAATATCTAAATTCTCAACTAACTATCAAATCCCCCATTTTATTTTTAAAGTATGAGTTCAGAAAACTAATTGTTTAGTTTTATGTGAAATTATACACTCTTTCAAGTTGAAGAACAACAATTTTGTGACTCTTTCAGAATGACAAATTATAACTTTTTATAACTGATTCCTTCTGTAAGATATAATGTGTATAATTTATGTGTAACATTCATTAATTTTTTCCATTTCATTAATAAATAATTGTTTCATACTTTTTGCAGCAGTTGCTGAGAATAGACTGTGAACAATGTTTGTGAAAATCAGTGTGTTGTCTTTTTATACTGTTGGGTCATATATTAGCAACTTGTTTATTTTTGTTTGAGTAGTACACTTGCACTGATCATAAAGAGAGACTACCTGTCAATAAAAAAGATTTTCATTTTAACTTTAAATAACTGCTTGAAACGTGTTAATCTTTATTTGTTGAAACTCTTCCCCAGAAGTTTTCACAAGAGCAGCTACTTCAAATAGACAATAACAGCTATGTGGTGGATCAACGTGAAAAGGAAATAGCCCATGTTGTTCAATCCATAGCCGAGCTGAATGAGATCTTTAGAGATTTAGCAACAATAATCGCTGATCAGGTACAAGTTCAAGCTTCATTTGTTAGATATTGAAAACTACATAACTACAATAAACATTGAATACAAGTGTGAAGCTCACTAAATATATTGAAACTAAAAATGCCCTTTTTACAATTTAGATATTTTTCTTTTTATGCCGAGACATTTCCACCTTATAATAAGAGATTGAGTGGTTTAATATATGCACAATTTATTGTAGGTTTATAGTTGTAAAATCCATAGAAATTTGCTGGAAAAATTTCAAAAGGATATCATGAACACAATTTGCACATGGTATTAGGTGTTTCTATGTTCACAGAATGCATATAACCTATCAAAAGCGAAAGTGTGGAAACAAAATTATAAGTTTGATCCATCGGAAATCACCACAAATATCAATTTCTTATATAACTTGTGCTTTGCTTGTGTGCTTCATACTTGATATATTGTGAAAACTAAATAATAAAAAGGGTTAAAAATTTTCTGGCTTTAATCTCCTGGGTATGTTCAAGTGTTTATTTTATAAAATGTTGATCTTTCATAATTCTCTGTGTGCCTGGGCTTTGTGCATAAAATTTATGTAGTATATTTTTAATTTTCAATTCACACAAATTCCTTGTGAAAGGTGTGATTCTCTGTTGTTGTTGTCATATAACATATAGATATAGGTGTATCTGCCCAGAATATTTTATCATGAAATCATAGCTGATTACAATTTACAACAATCTACTTTTTGTAATAAATGGGTATTTAAAACTATATTATTTTGAGTGCAAAGTATAAGTGGCCATTGAGACTTTGCAGAGCTTGAAATGATTAAAAGCTTTAAGATATCGGTTATTAATTTAAGCACAACTGTGATTTTTATCTTAAGCAAAAAAAATAGTTTTTTTAAGATTAATTTTAACACCACCAAAATATTTTATCACTTGGTACCAATATTTTTTAATGTAATTAACTTATGGATATTTCAAAAAGACTTAAATTGTGACTCCCATTTAGTAAAAAAAAATAGTTAATGTCATAATCTTAACATAACAGCAAATGTACAACGTTTCAACGAGGTTTTCTCATCATCAGGTACCTGATGAAGACAAAATCTTGTCGAAACGTTGTACA